TCACATAGAGCTCCTCTGGGTAATGTCTGGATAATTTCAGGGTTCCAATGCATGTCTGAAAAGGGTTCCAGATTTCTGTATGTCTGTCATTCCTGAGGTTCTTTCTTAACATTCTCAAATGTAATTTGCTATGTTTTCATCCCAGGCTCAGTCTATTTCTTGTGCACTTTCAATAAAACAAAAAGAAATGAATAAATGCCACTGAGACTGACAGAAGCCAGAGATACATAGGCTTTGAACACTGAGGGTCTTTCACATTTCCAAAAGGGAGGTAACATCATAGGTTTTAAAGAGCACACAGAGAAGATGAAATTTGAAAAGTGAGTTTTGTCTCCCTGTGTCTGTAAGGAAGGCATCTCCCTCCCTCACTTCACTCAAAAATACAGTATACCCATAGAAACACACAGCACACATGCACCCAGAAAAATCCACACTTTGACTGTCAACCACATACCTACTGACCTCCAACAAGGCTGGGCTGAAATCCAGCACTTCAACCTTTATGAAAATAAATAAAGTGGTACAATATGCTGTCTGTGCTCTGCTTCACCACCTTGACTCTATTCCACTAGTCGACATCCTTCTCTGCTGTCCCTCTCCTCCATTTAAAAGTTCACTTTTACAATCTTCCCACCAAAATGGCTCCTTTACGCAACTCCCCAAGCTCCCTAAGCCAACATGACCTCCTTGTGTGTGTGTGTGTGTCTGTTTTTGCGTGTTCTTGTACTTGCTACATAGTGAGGACCAAAAAAAGTATTTTTTGCTGGAGAGTGGAGACATTTTGGCAGCTTTTTTGAGGGTTAAGACTTGGTTTTAAGGTTCAGGTTAGGTGTTAGGAGAAGGGTTGTGGTTAGGCATTTAGGTCTGATGGTTAAGGTTAGGGCAAGGGGCTAGGGAAAGCAATGTCAATGAGTGTCCTCAGAGAGATAGAAGTACAAGTATGTGTGTGTATGTGTAAGAATACAATGAGTGTTTTAATTATGTAACTCTGAACAATGATTTTTTATTTATTTATTTATTTTCTTGCTGTAACATTTTGGTCCTTTTCCCAACCTGACTGACTTAATGGTTTGTGTGTGGGTGCGTGTGTGGAAAAACAAGTGTAATCATATATGCTTAGAAGAAAGTAGACTAATGTGCGTCCGTGTGTGTGTTTGCATTTGTGTGTGGTGCATAAAGCCAGGCCTGTTGCACACTTTACATAAATAGCTGTTCATCTTGTTTCCACTGGAGGCACAGCTGAGCAGACTCGGGCAGCTTTTACACAAGTTTCAACATGTTATTCATTCCATTCTATTAATACAATGCTTTTAATTTTATCTCATGTAGCTTAAAGTCTCACAGCTGAGTCTCTAGTGAGTTTTCTGTTTACACCATTTAACATAAAGCTAGAAATCACAGTCTGAATAAAAACTCTGAGCAGAGCAAAGGACTTCAGATTCTGGTCCAAGCATGTGAGCTGAAGGAAATGACCTACTAGCTTTTCAAAACATCCCTGTGGCAGGCTGTGGGGCCAAGGCTCCGGCACCGATTGGTGAAAGCTTAGAGAGGTGTTTCAAGGCTCAGTGGCAATGTTATCACATAGTAAGTGGCCTTAACAGGCTTCCAACTGTTTGTTTGAAGGACTCCCATAATGACAGGGATTAACTGATAGCCCCATGCACTACACACTGCACAGAGAGCCGGTGGATCCTCTCGTGGATGAATGAACATCTTTGCACATTTATAAAGACTTGGCTGAAAAAAGATGGGAGTTTTGTAGCACATGGCCAGTGAAGCTTGTTCACACATGACTTGAACATTGACGTGAAGGTTTTCTGGGTCCACTTCTGGCATGTACGCAGCATGTATGAAGAAAAGCCTACTATCTCTACATGTGCAAACACAGTCCGTCTACTCCCTCCCGCCCTCTCCTGTCTCTTCCCACCTCTGTGCAAAACAGGTATTTCCAAAGACACTCTGGTGCCAAAACAGTTTGCCGCCGTGGGAGGTACTCCAACCTGTCGGCACGGCATTCACACCCAGCAAAGGTAGGTGTTACTCAGGCTACCTCTCTAACAATAATAATGTCCGGAGCCCTGAAACTGGTCAA